AGGGTCAGAGAAAAAGAGGAAGACCTCTAACGAGATGGACTGGCCAGGTGGCATCATTGATGGACTCAAGTGTGACAGCGGTAGTGAGGTTGGCCCAGGATCGGACACTGTTTCGTTCTGCTGTGCATGGGGTCGCTATGAGTCGGTTCTGACTCGATGGCACCTGACAACAACAACAACAATGGAATACCAGGAACAAGGCCAAACAGTACCACGGGTCCGGGCCTTTGAGCCACATGATTCAAAGTGCCACAGGTCCCAGGGGGCAGGCTGGAGTCGTGGGCAGAGATTAGTTCAGATTTACCTGCCAACTCCTGCAACGAACACACATAAAGGAGCAAGGCAGGACATTTGTGTCTGGTCTCATATCCACCGCATGATTCTACAACTTACAGGACTTCAGGGAAGCTGAGTGTTCTCTCTGGTAACTCAGATATTGGCTATGGCTCTGGCTTCCTAACCAAGTGCTGTGAGAACAAGGCATTCAACACCAGTGCGTCTCCAACTTTAACGAGCAGGCAAATGGACATGTGCTGTTGTCAAATGTAACCTCTAATGCAGACGGGTTAGGGAGGAGCTTTATATTGACAGATGGGAAAGTCATTCCCTGATTTAGACACACATAAGATAAACTAGGAGACCTGGTGTGGTGCTGTGAGTTAACGCGCACACTTAACGCGAGGTCAGTTTGAACTGCAAGGTTGGTAGGTGAAGCTCACCAGCCGCTCTGGGAAACCCTACTAGACAGGATTGCTGTGAGTTGGAACCCAGTCAAGAGTACTTAACAACACAACAACAATATAAACTAATTTAATTTAGCCACCAAGAGCTTGGTTGACAATTGTTGCTGTTAAGGGCCGTCCAATCGGTTCCGATGCAGAGTGACCCTATATAGGATATCCGAGGAGTGGCTGGTGAGCTTGAACCCCCGAACTTGTGGTCCAACTCGATGAGGCATCAGGAAACCAATGTCTGCCAATCACCTACTGTGCGCCCCTATGAGGCACCTCATACGCATTACACTTCCCCTAGCCTCTCCATCTCTCTCCCTACATACTCTGTAAATGAGGAAAATGAGATTCCACAAGACTGGGAGTCGGTCCAGGCTGCAGGGTTGAGTCACAAGTGGAAAAGGGACAAAGGACCTGCTGCCCGCAAAAACCATGTAATCTGCAAGCTCCCCCAGCAATCTGCCCACCTGTCAAGCCCCTCTGCTGGGCCTTCCAAGTCTCAGTGGTGAGACAAGATGCATACAGGTGAGCAGCCTAGTTAGGAAACCATCAAATCACAAAGCCCGCGGAGCTGAGAGCAAACAGAAAACTCAGTGTGAATAGGGAGGTGCTCTGCTTAGGAAGTTGCCAATAAGATCTGGTCAAGAAAAACTGTTGGACTTACTGCTGTGGTTTATCTGGAAAGACCTCTGAATGCGTTTTAAAAAGCAGAAATAGGGATAATGCCAGTGCTTAACTCTCTAGCAGATTTTAACCAGAGGACAACATCCCCCCTCCTCCCTCGGGAGCGCTGCGGCTCTGTAGATAACCACTAGACTGTGACCAAGGTCGGCTGTTTGAGCCCACCAGCCACTCCAAGGGAGAAGAATGAGTGGGGTACATCCAAAAAAAAAAAAAAGCCAGAGGGAATAGAAGCAAATACCGCTGAATAAGGGGATTGTAATCATGGCAATCAAACAAAATACGATAGGATGAGAGTAAAGCTGATGTTCTTCCATGTAAACGATCACTCAAATCACAATAAAAACTTCAAAACAAAACCCTATGCAGCGTCACTATGAGTTAGAACAGCCTTGATGGCACTTTAAACAACACTACAATAAAATTTATACTCACTTATACCTGGGGTCCTGGTGTGGCACTGTGGGTTAACGCGCCAGACTGCAAATCCGTCTGAACTGCAAGGTCGGTGGTTCAAGCTCACCAGCTGCTCCTTGGAAACCCTATACAGGGTCACTGTGGGTCGGAACCAACTCACCAGCACTTCACAAACAACATAGCTGGCTTTTGTTCATTTTACATGTTTTTCAGGTTCATCCATATCGTTGCATGTATCAGTGGTTTATTCTGTTTTTTTTACCGAGTTGTACTTCATTGTGGACACACATGAAAATTTGTTTATCCATTCTTTGCGTGATGGACATTTGAGTTGTTAGCAATTACGAATAAAGCAGAATAAATATTCTTGTACAAAAAAAAAAAAAAAAAAGCTCATAAGTGGCCATCTAAAGTGCAACTATTGGCCTCTTCCTTTATGGAGGACAGAAGAGTGATGAAAACTGAAGACATCTGGAAACAGTTAACGGACCATGTGACCATACATCTCCATGACGATGAGCCCAAAAGAACTAGACAGTGCCTGACTATCATCAGTACAACTGCTCTGAAATGAAACCCATTAGGAGGTCCCGGATGGAGCAGGAGAAACTGTGGGACAAAACTCAAAATCCTAAAAACAGAGCAGACGTAGTGGGATCCCGAGACTCCAACCCTTGGTCACCCACAGGTCTGTAACTGAGCTGACTCCCATGGCTGTTTTCAGCCAAGCAGGAGATGTTGATGTAACGGAGACAACAACAATAGGAGGAGCTCTGGTAGCGCAGTGGTTACGAGTTGGGCTACTTACCTTAAGGTCAGCAGTTCGAAACTACCAGCTGGTTCACGGGAGAAAGATGAGGCTTTCTGCTCCCGTAAAGATTTACAGCCTCGGAAGCCCTGTACAGGGTCGCTATGCGTCGGAACCGATTCCACGGCACACTAGCGAGGTATATGCACACCATAGGGGCGGCATTTACCAAAGGACAAAGTTTAGAAGGGCTTGGGAAAAAATGAGTAATGGAAATAAGAAACAGCCATTGTTGTCAGTAAGCACCATCGAGTCAGTTCTGACTCACAGCGCCCCTGCTCCAAGGAGCAGCTGATGAGTTTGATATGTTGACCTACCACCTCCCGGCTCAAACCAACCTTTCAGTCGAGTGCTTATCTTACAATGCCACTCCACAGTGGTGTTGCTGTTGTTAAGTGCCATTGAGTCGGTTCCGACCCACAGGGACCCTGTATAGGGTTTCTGAGGAGCGCCTGGTGAAGCTTGAACCACCAACCTTGCAGTTCAAATGGCTCTGCAGTCTGGCGTATTAACCCACAGCGCCACACCAGGATATTACACTGAGGGGAATGCATTCCACAGTCACTGAGATGAAATGAGTTGTGTATTTGTTGGGTATAAAACTAATGATCTGTTCTGTAAACCTTCACTGAATTCACAATGTTAAAAAAAAAAAAAAAAAAACAACCACACACACAACAAATTACACAGCTTCCATTGTTGTTGTTGTTTTAAATGCCGTCAAGTCGGTTCCAACTGACAGCGACTCCATGTAGAGTTTCCCAGAAGCAGCTGATGAACCTGAACCACCAACCCTGCGGTTCACAATGACCTTGTGGTTCCGTTTTTATTCTACAGCACCAACAGCTTCCTTTGTTGTTGTTAACTGCTGTCGAGTCGAATCCCACCCATAGAAACTCTGTGTAGAGTTTCTGAGGAGCAGCTGGTGAAGTTGAACCGCCAATCTTGCAGTTAAAATGGCTTTGCAGTCTGGCTCATTAACCCACAGCGCCACATAGGACTCCTTCCTTTAGCTGCTGTTTATTCACTGAAGTTGTGGCTTAACCTCCAAGAGAAACAAACCTAGTTCTATTTACGTCAGGGCATTAAAAAGAGTTATTTCTCCCCAAAAATAAGGAAGAGATAAAACATCAGCTTTTCATTCTGTAATCCCCAAATCAGGTGTTCATTCTGTAAAGCCCGAAAGAACAGCAAGCAAGGTTTATTACATGAAAAGGAGTCCTTTTCACCAGTGACAACATGAACACAATTCCCCCAGCCACCAAGTACCAGCAAGGCAATAATCCAGCCCCACCACAGAGCCCAGGGACCCCCTGAACCGAATCCACTTACAGAGAGAGCGAGACGATGTTAGACGAAGCAGCACCCAGGTATGGGATGGCTGTGAGCTGATTAGTACTGAGGTACCTGTAACAAGAAGAAGAAGAAATCAGACACACAAATCAATTCACTGGAGTCTTCCGTAACAATGTATTTCATGTGCAAAGATCATAAAATCATTGCTGACGAATGGTCAACCATTCAAGATCAAAAGGGAAGCATTTACCCAAGGGCAAAATTCCAAAGGCTGGGAAACAAGAATCACAGGCAGACAGCCGGGTACTGATGCTCCATGGAGGGCTTGGCAATCATGGAGATGAAACGAGGTATAGGATTTGTTGACTGTGAAACGGGCGCTCGGTTCTACAAACTTTCACAACAATATATATGTATTTTAATTTGCTGAGTGAGTCATAGTGAGACTCCTAGATAAACACTAGATAAAAGATCAAGAACTTGAAAGTGAGTTTTTAAAGGAAAAGTAGCTGTGTGTGGTAAGGAAAACCAACCACTTACTATCTCCATGGTTTAGACATAAAAACAAAGTGGAAATATCTACTGTAGTGCTTAGATGCCTATCTAGTTCAGAAATCAGGAGTGACAAGCAGGAAACATGGACAAAAGACCAAGATGCACAGTTCTGAAAAAGTGCGCCCCCTAAGACCATCAAGAAGACAATCTTTGTGGGCTGAAAGTGGCAGAAAGGCTGGGGGAGCCCATGCGCTCCTGGTACTCTACGTATCTGAGAAGTGGAGCTAGAAAAGCCACAGTTCTGCCCCAGTCAAGGGAAGTCAGAAGCTCACACACTCCTGAGGTGTCCTAAGGGTTTCTGTAAGCCTGGCCCAATGGATCTCCAAGCCTCATCAGGAAAACAGCACAAAGTTAACCTAAGACTCTCAGCCCCTGGCAATTCTACACCCCTATGGCTCAGGACACCTCAGACGTGGTTTTCAGGAAATTATACACACATGGACACACACTTTTGCACGTAGATACTTAGAAACTCCGCAGCAGACAAGAGACAGTCTCCAAGACCCCTTCCTATTCAAACATTCTAAATCTGTATTTCCACTGTTAATATTGCTTAATGGAAGGGGAAGCCCATTAACCAAAGTACAGCTTGCCACCAGAGACTCTGCAATCTGGCCTCCTTACATGGAAATGTATTTCCAAACCTGGGAAGAGAATCCAAAAAAATCCAACTTGTGAAGTGAAACCTAAATGTCCTTAAGAATACCAGAGCACAGTGTTCAGACTTCTGCTGGAAGACAGGCTGTAAAGAAACTATTTGAGATGCAAAGTCAAGACAGTAAAGCTATTTTATTCCCTCCTGGTCACCTGCCCCCTTCACCCTCACCAGCCTTTTTTAAAAAGGAGGGGAGAGAAAGAGAGGGGGGCTGTGTGCTGACAACCGGCAGGGTGGGGGAAGGCTTGCAGGGTATACCCTTTGGTTGGTTGATGATTCATGGAGGGGACTGCAACCATGGCAATGAAACGATATACGATAGGGTAAATGTAACTAATGTTCTCCCATGTAAACTATCACATAATTCACAATAAAACTTTTTTTTTTTTTTTTTTTTAAAGGAGGGGAGGTTCTGGTGTGGTGCTGTGTGATAAAGCATCAGACCACAAGGTGGGTTCGAACCACAAGGCTGGTTGTTCAAACTCATCAGCTGCTCCTTGAAAACCCTACACTGGATCGTTATGAGTTGGAACCTTCTCAATGGTACTCAACAACAACAATGTAACCGTGGTGACACTATAGGGTAAGCTCTGGAGAGCTAGCCACAAGAAAGGCACTTCAAGCCCACCAAGGGCTGTAAAGAGAAAGATGAGGCTTTCTGCTCCTTTAAAGATTTACAGCCTTGGAAATTCTATGCAGGATCACTATCGACTCAATGGCAGTGGGTTGTTTTTGTTGTTTTGGGGTTTTTTTATGTCTTACATGAAGCAATGAGCTCCTTCCTTATTGAAGACGGGGTCACTGAGATGACAGCGGTATTCATACAAGCGTACAGCTAGCATTTGCTCGAAGGACTAATCTAGTTATCTGCCATCTTTTATAGAAATGAATTTTAAAAAGAGAAAGAAAGAAAGAAGGAAGGGAAGGCCTTGGATTATCTCATTTGCTTTCTATAGTGCCAAATTCAGTTAGAGATGAAGTTTGACAATTACTGGGCTCTGGGACACAGACTGTCTGTTTCAATAGCTTCGTGACTGAAGCATCTGGCAGAGAAAGCAGACCCGTATCATGTGGCAAATCCTGTCTTCACTTAAAGAGCCCTTGTTTGTGTGTTGAAATAGACAATTAATTACTTTAACAGTCTCTTATCTGCCTGCCCCCTAAATCAAATTGTTCCTGCTAACCCTCTTGTCTCCTGACCCATGTCCCATCATGGTGCAGAACACTGAGCACTCCCCTCCTTGGTTCGCAATCTCTGCTGATCAATTTCTGTAGTTACTTAGCAACAAATTGATTACTAAGAGAGACCCTAGAATTTTATCAGGTCAGGGGCCTGTTATGAATAAGGTTGTTGTTGTTAAGTGCCGTCGAGTCAGTTCCGACCCATAGCGACCCTGTACAGGGTTTCCGAGGGTGTAAATCCTTACGGAAGTAGAAAGCCTCATCTTTCTCCCGCGGAGCGGCTGGTAGTTTCGAACCGCTGACCTTAAGGTTCGCAGCCCGATTCGTAACCACTACGCTACTGTCTAAGAATTCTTCATTTCACAGAGATGCATTCTGAAACACAGCCCATGGTGGCTTAAACAACAGCTAATTTATAAACCTATGCTCCAGGCATGGTTCTAATGTACAACCTCATCTTTGAGGAAACTTGCTGGTGCAAATGGTGAGCACTCAAACCCTAGCCCAAAGATCGATGGTTAAAACCCACCCAAAGGCACTTTGGGAGACAAGCCTGGCACCGCGTAGCAGAAAGGGTGGCGCCTTGAAAACCACATGGAGTCGGTTCTATACTCTGTCATGGGGAGTGACCAGGAGTCAGAATCCGTTCATTGTTATTAACAACCACCTCACTTCATCTTTAGATCTCCACCCCACCCCAGGACAGGGGTGAGGAACCTTTTTTCTCCCAAGGGCCATTTGGATATTTATAACATCACTTAATATAAATTTATGTTGCTATGAAAGTAGCTCCTACATTTACTGAATTGCGGATCCTGCCTGCAGTTGCCTTGGCTAGGATGGACCAAATGACTGTGGGCTTCTACGCCCACAGGCCCTAAGACATAGGTCCTATACACATTTCCATCACATCAAAGAGGGAACCAAAATGCTAAAGAAGTCACACAACAAAGTGGCAGTGGCTCAGAGAGTGGAACCCAAAGTCTATGTTGTTAACCTCAACTGCTTTATAACTGCAGACAAAACTCCACATGCACTATGTCATTCCATCAGCCCCGTAGCTCAGTTACATACACTACCACATCCTATCTGATCAGCATGTTTCTAAAGTCAAGTACCAGTCTAGGGCCCCAAAGTGAGGTCAAGACACAGCCAAGCTGTGGACTCAAACAAGGCTCCACATCAAAGGAAAGCCACACCTCCCACAGCAGGGAACTACTCCGGTAGCAGGGTAGTTATTTAGTTTTCAGTCTCATGATATGACTTGATTTTAAACCCACACCAAATCGTATGGACTTCTCTGCAGGGGACGTTTCACAGAATAAGCTTGGTTCATAGCCCCCAGTTCACAGAAATAACTGGACAAGGAAAGGAGGCAGAACAACATTTCAAATCTTAAGTGAGCTGCTGGAGAGCCGAGCCGTGCCGGAACCGTGGGCCGGAGGGGGTGCTAAGGATTAACAGGGCATTTTATGTCTGGATTAGCAGTTCCAAATGGCCAGGTTCAGTCAGAAATAGCAGGCTCTAATCTCAACAGGTTTGCTTGATTTAAGTGGAGGACAACAGTCGGAGCCTACAGGAGAGGAACCGCACAGCCAGCTTTCTTCTAGACCATTTCTATTTACAAAGAACCGCTGATGAAAGATTAAGTCCGCTAGCTCGACCACTGCTGTCTTGCTCTTTACTCACTCCATCCCTTGTTGGGACTAGAATATGGCCTCAGAAGGCAATGGAGGCTGAACCCACTGAGAGCCAAGAGCTTGCTGCCAGACTGAAATAGAAACAGATCAAAAATAGCAGAGTCAGAGCAGCTCTGAGGGCAAAAGGCACTTGGGAAGCTGACCAGTGTCTTCGTTAATCAGGACATTTCAGAAACTAAGCATTGTGCTTAATGAAACTTTCTGAATATCTAGGGTTGAACAGTTACCCTTCCACAATCCCACCCACCCAAAAGAGCACTGGGCTTCCACTAAGACCCTTACGGTCCTTCTGAGCCCTTTCCTGATGATTCAGGAAGCATCAGAGTAGGAATCACGCTGCAATCCTGGGCCTGCAGATGCGAAGACCGGGAGGCAGGACCTCTCCTGACTCAATCTATGAGGTCAACAAAGCTCCTTTGGCTTTTTCCCAAAAAACTTCCATTTCTTTGGCTTGGTTACAAAGAAGTTTTACACTTTATATGACAGAAATGTGGGAAAGGCCATTTCATAATACATAGTACATTATTAAGATCTTATCAAATTACCCACTGCCACTGAGTCAATTCCAACTCATACTGAGCCTATAGGGCCAGCAGTGAACTGCCCCATAGGGTTTCTGAGACTGGCTATCGCTATGGGAGCAGCCAGCCTCATCTTTCCACATGAGCAGATGAGGGTGGCTCATGGGTTCCAACCCTCCTTTGCGGTGACCAGCCCAATACACCACCAAAGTTCTGTTTCATCAAATTAGGGTTCAAAGAGAAAAAATAAAAAATAAACCAAAGTATTAATTTTGGACTATAAATTTCTTTGCAGCGTATTTGTTTACCAAGGAGCTAATATTAGCACATAGCAAATACTTCAAACGGTTTCAAACGGCATATACAAGCCATTTCCAAAAAGGAATACAAGACGTAGGCAGTGGGAAATAGAGGGTCCCTGCACGCCCATCCTCTGGTTTGCCTCTGAGGCAGCCCCTACGACTAGCCATGTGCACAGGCATCTCTTCACTTAGCCAG